TTTTATGATATCGTCAAACATATATTTTATTCAAAAATAAAAACATCATCGTTTTCTCAAAATCACATAAAGCCATATTATAACATCGACTGAGATAAAAAATAAAATGAAATATTAAAAACACGATGTATCTCGCTGCATTGCGCGAGTACGCTTCTAGTATATATATATAGGTTTGATGGTCTATATCTAGCAGTAGTGAAATTGAAAACGCACCTTCCGTAAAGTTTTCCTGATGTTCAGACCTGAAGGAGATTGACAAACTGCAAGAAATGTTCTAAGAACATTTTGTTGAACATTTGGTCCATATAATGAGATGAGAGAAAATAACTTGAAAATATCTTCTTCAGATTCCAGAAACGGCGTATCCTCATGATCGCCTTTGTGAGAAGTTAACGATAAAGCGAGATTCACAATCGTGGCTACAACCTTTTCAACGAGATTCGGCATTGATAAGCTTTCACGGAAGAGTATTCCAAACAAAATCTCTACAACACCTTGTTTCATCATCTTTAATCCATTTTGTGGCACACCTGAAAGCTTCTCGAGGGCTAAAATGGCTGCCTTCTTCATCTCAATATTAATGTGGGAGAGCATAGCAACAAGTGACTCCACCGCTCCATTTTCACAAACCGTAAGCTTTGCATGATCGGTCATCTCGACTTCTGACAGCGTCTCAGCCATCACCCGTTGAACGCTTTCAGACCCTGTGTTGATTTGGTATCATTGTAAAACAAAGGTAACTTAATCTTGAATTCCATCCAAATACAGGAAAACTTATAAGCAACGACTTTGTTGACGTCAAAGATACTACTTTTCATATTATAGTTTTTGCGAAATATGTGAAACCCCGTATTACTCACCAAAAGAGCTCTTGAGGTGAGAATGGAGGTTTCAACATATATATTAGGAGAAATGGTCCAAGTTTCACCGACATGTGACTCTAATGCATCTCCTCCAATGGAGGCTAGACAGCTACAAATTATCCAGAGTGTTGAAAAGGGGGGTAAGACGAGTAGATATTACTCCAGAGTGTCGATTTTCTAGAGTGGTAGACATGACTCTAATACCATGTGAAATATATGAAACCCTCACATTACTTTCCAAAAGAGCCATGGAGGAGACAATGGAGGTTTCAACATATATTGAGGATAAATATTCCAAGTCTAGCCAATGTGGAACTCTTTAACAATTTTATTGAGGTTTAGTTTGGCTTGATATGTATTTTTTCAAATTTAGTGAGAAAAAATGGGTATATAAAACTTCATCACACGTCCTACCGATAGAAAAAACATATATATATATATATATATATATATACATATATATATTGATAACCTTGGGAACTTGTGCACCATGTGTTATTTCATATGATATTTTTTCATCTAAGACTAGGATTTAGAATATTGATTAACATATATTTGTTTCACATGTACTCGGTTCATGATGTGAACACTTTTGGTGTGTTTATGAAACAAAAAGTACACGTAAAAAGGTTTCATATTGTGAACCGAATACATGTGAAACAACCACATTGTGAAACAAATATACGTTAATCTATACATAAAATACCATACTTGGACGAAAAAAATATCATGTGAAACAAACCTTAAGATAGAAGTTCTCACGGATCTCATAAATTTTGGAGTTCTCAAATGATTAAGCCCCTATATACAATAGTTTGACCATGGGGGTAGGTCAACTCATAAGACCTTGAGTTTAATCCTCAGAGGTCGCCAATTCAAGTCCCGTCCGGTTACTATAGGGCCTCATGGTATTAGTAGAGTAGCATGCAAGCTGGTCTTGACACCCACGGTTATTGATAAAAAAAACTACTGGCTTTGACCTAAAAAGTCAAACTTAACCTCCTATGCTATCTTAGTTTGATGAGTGATGGTTAAATACCTGAAGAAAGAAGGCGAAGTAAAGGTCCAAAATGATTAGCATTGGCCATTTGCACAATATTCTGATGAAGAAAAGAGAGATTCTCCAAAAGTTGTTTAGCATCCTCAGCAGCTTGAGCATCATCACTACCAGATAAGGTCACAAGAAGAAGTATGCAACCTTGGCTACTCCCAATAATATTTCTTGCCACATCGTTTTCCGACAATTCCATAAGCAATTGCAATGCCAACTTACTTTCTTCGATCTTTCGTGCAAGGGAACACACGATTAATTTGATAGCATTGTCTGTTTTCGCTATGCTTTCCTGCAAGTTACCAATATGAATTTATGAATCTTTAATTAAATTATGTTATAAACAATGAATCTTTGATTAAAGTATCATATGGTAGATTTTGATCTTAAAAACTTGACCCTAAGTGGTTGTTCAACGGTAAGATCTTGGGTTCCGTCCCCCCCCCCCCCGGTCACCATTCAAGTTACCTCAGGACCACTAGAGGATTTGTCTAGCTATTAACTTCAGTGCCCCACGGAATTAGTCAAGGTACACAGAAGCAGACCCTACCAAAAGAACTTAAGAATCTTAACCCTAAGGACCCGTTTGATTTGACAGAAAGTTTTTGAAGGATTTGGAATTAGAATAATATGGAATCTTTGGTGTGTTTGGTTTGTAGGATTTGGAATGGAACTGAATTCCCTTCTCTATAAATAATTTACAAAAATATTAAACTACCTTTTTATTAATTGAATATAATAAAACAAATGTTTTTAACATATTTTAAAACATTATTACAAACAAATCCTACGAAATCCCATGAAATACCAACTACCCCATGGGATTTCTGTATCACATGTTTATAGGATTTCAAATCCAAGCAATCTATCAGACCAAACATAGGATTAGAATGGAATTCAATTCCAAATCCTATCAAATCCTGCAAACCAAACGTGCCTTAAGGGTCGTTCAAATGATAAAATATTTGGGTCCCCCCCAAAGAGATCACCATTTCAAGTCACCTCTCGAGGGTTTGCCTGGTTGTTAACTTCAAGTGTGAGCAAGTTGGCCCTACGAAAAGCACTTAAGAATTTTTAATCAAAGTGATATGTGTGTGTATATATGTGCATACCTTCCTATCATCGTTGTCGGTTGCAAGGATGCGGAGGATCGTGAGAATGCAGGATCTAATCTGGAAATTCTTGGTAGAAAGAAGAGAAACAAGAACCGGCAAGTAGTCCTCCATCATCACCCATTCTTGATGAAGATCTCTTTCCAAGCACAAATCTTGCAACTTTTCTAGCGAGACGATTACTTCTTCCTCCTCGTTCGAAAGAATCCTCGACTTAATAGAACCGATGAAGATCATCGTGTTTCTATCTCTCCACTCTTCTATCGATTGGCGAAGAGTCTTGTTAGTCCTTAAAGCCGATGCTTTCAATGGAGTCTTGGTTATTGGACAAAGATTGTTTTCAACCGCTAACCATTTCTCTATTGCATATCTCTCAAAACTATGTCCGGATGGCGTTTCTACTGGATCGTCCATAAGTTCTTGAGTTATCGGACAGTAGAACGATTGAAGAGGCTCTAAAGGTTGCCTTCCCAAAGAATTTCTCTTGCTAAAATACTTCTTTTCTCGCTCTTCTGCTGTCGAAATAATATCAGCCTTTCCTAGTAAGGCCACAGTCTGTTCAATCTGTAAAGCTTCTGCTACATCTTCTGTTAGCTCAACATTTTCCATTTCGTGTTTGAATTCTTCATACTCTTTTCGCAATACTGCTTGCTCTGTTGAGATCCCGATGACATCCGCAATAGAAACGAGCAAACTATTGGCATATGATCTATCAACGTTCCTTTCTCTGATACCCACTTTAATTTTCTCAATGATTTCCTCTTCTGTGGCTGATTCTTGATAATTTGCATTCAACATGATCTTCGATAGCTTAATGATATCTTGATCAAGTCCATTGACGGAGATCAGAGGATGAAGGAGGTTAAGAGCATTACCAATCTCTTTTGTGTGGTTTTCTAGGCTTTTAACGATCTTTTTGCAATTAAGCAAGAGGTAGATTTTGTTCTTGTTGCTGCATTCGTGAGCAAAGATGTTAGCTTCTGAAACATGCTTAGTGAGAACGTTAATCGTGTTCTTTAAGGTCCCGGAATCATGGATGTCCAACTTAGTTGATTCTTGTAGAATGAATGTTATCCTCTCCAAATAAGATGAAAGTTTCTTGAAATTTTCCTTTTGAACGTTGGTGGCTTTGGTGGAATGAACGGTCTCGAGTGTTGTCGAGATAGCCCTAGAAAGAGTGCCTGAAGCTGGTACATGAGTACTCATTATCTACAAATGTAAGCCAGAAACTGTTGAAACTGCTTTTCGAGTTCTTGAAATATGAAATTTTCAAGAGAGAATGCAACTTCTAAGTAACTGCAGATTGGAGACCATAGCCTGCATCCACAGGAAATTAGTAGAAAAATTAAGATTGTGATTGATAGGATATGTATCCTAACAAGTGCCAATCGGTAGCATACAACACGAAGGCAGGTTTAAATGAGAACCACAAATATTTTAAGAACCTCGGAACCATCTCATGCATTATTCATGATGAAAAGCCCAAATATATTCACAATAAACCACAAGGGTTGTGGTGTAGTGGTTGAGGCCCTTGGGGATGTGGTGGAATATCCCATCTTTCCGGGGTTTGATTCCAGGCATACAAAAATTGTGGCCACCGAGTTTATATGGCCTGATTTCTTACAGTTACAAGTTGTGATTAGTCCAGACATACTATATATATGTGTGTGTGTGTGTGTGTGTGCGCAATATCATTTTTTCATTATTCATTATATTCATGAATATCTATCATGAATAATTCATACATAGTTGGTTCTCAATATATTTATTGTTCTCATTTGAACTGGTGCTTAGTCGCTACGCCTACAACACCATACATTTTCTCAAAGTAAGTTTTTATGGAAGTATATAATAATAATTATGGCAAAACTCAGACACACTATTGACCTTTTGAGGTTTGAACCCCTTATCAACCAAAAGTTGGTATCTATAGATAACCCGGATAGCACTGGATCAATGACCATTTGGTTCTCAAAAGTAAGTTTTTGACTTAGAAGAACCTCAAAAGCAATTATGATCTTAAACACTTAGCAAATAATATGGTTAACAAGCCCTCTAGCATGTAGCTCAATTGGCTTGTTGCAAAGTGGCAGAGCGACTTTGCTCAAATACACAGCATGTTCAAGTTTGAATCCTGGGGAGACAGACTTGAACCCAGCGCTAGCCTCAACTGCTGAGTTAGCTTTAAAATGCCTACTCACATGTGGTTCCTAGGGGCGGGTTCCATGTGGGCTGTAGGAACATTTTGCTCAGATAATTGGTTAACAAGTGAAGAATAACAGAATTGTTCACCACTATTGCAAACTTTTGGGGAAAGAAAGATTAAATTTAATCTAATCTTCGTAGATCCAAAAACTGCAACCACACACACACATATTCTAAAATTCAACCCACAAATCATAATGAGACACAAACACAGACATCTGATTTCCTAAAATCTCTGCAAAATTGGAAACCTAAAACTGTAATCGAAGGGGTAATCAAAAGGGAAAGTCGCAGATTAAGCTCGTATTGCAATCATAATACTATATTGAATTCCAATATGTTCTTACCTGATGAAGCTCTGATCAGCAAGCTCAGCTGCAATCGCGAACATCCGGTAGGAAAGCCGAGCTGAACCAGAATTAGAAAATGGGTGGTCAAATTCTAGTCGTAAATGTAGTATAACAAGTGGGATTCAACTCGAAAGACTACAAAGTCTTCGAATTAAATACAAAAATCTACAGTTTGACGCGGTTTCTTTGTGAACTATCGTACGAGACTTCTCCCTCCATTTTGTTTATTATTTCCACCAAATTGACTTCTTGAAACCCGCCAAGTCTCACCACCAACAACAATTGTATATAAATTTTAGTGAATTATATATAATTGTTTTTTTTCCCCTAAAGATGTCTCTTTCAATTTAAAACATATTTTTTTTATATTAGAAGCGTACTTGCGCAATACAGTAAGATATATCGTGATTTTAATATTTTATTTTATTTTTTATCTCAATCGATGTTATAATATGATTTTATGTGATTTTGAGAAAGCGATA